AATAAAACTACTTACATAACATTCAATATTTGATTGCATATCTTTATTTCTTATATTTTGTAATTTTTCATCAGATTTAGATAATTTAGATAAAATATATTTGCTATTCTGCCATTTTAAAAAATATCACAAATTTATTCTGCTGTCGGTCATTCTTTTGGTTTTATATTCCAACATCGCTTCATTAAATCTGCATAGCATTTTGCAGTACCTTCATAAATTTGTGGATGTAAACCATTAATTATTTGTAATTGGATTTGGAATTTGAATCATGATTCTGTGTTTTGCACAAAAGGTACAGGTTTGCTATTTAAAATTTTCCACATAATTATTCCAAATGAATAAATATCAGATGCTTTAGTATGTGGTTGTTTATCTAACACTTCCGAAGCAATGTATGGTAAAATCGAAATGACTCAGAATAAAGTCACAAGAATCGATCATTCAATCAGATCATAATTTCGCACATCAAAATTTGAATTGCCTATAAACCATACACTACGTTTACGTTGTTAAACTCTATTTCTGGCATAGAAAAAAAAATACTACAAGGCATAATACACAATTCCAACGAAATCACGACTAAAACTTGATGCACATACAAAAGCCACACAATAAATCAAATAATATAACGAGAATATTACACAGTATGGTAAATTTAGGTAGTGATCATCATCACAAATGCATGCACACAAAGTCACAAGGTATAAGCATCCAATCAAATGCCTAGAATTGCAAACTTCACTTAACTTGCCATAAAACCATACACTCTGTATTTCATACTCTGTTTCTGCTACTAGGTTATTAGATTTTACTAAAAGAAAAAATATTAAATATATTATACTAGATTATTTAGATTGGTAGTTTAGTTAGTACTAAGTAATAATAAAAAAGAAGTCAGAAAGATAGATACTAAGATTTAATTAAAATATAAATAGTATAATATAGTAGTTTAATAAAATATCTGTAATTGCAACTGCTAGTAGTATTTTTATAAATTTGAACTAAACTGAACTTTAGTCAAGTTTAAGTTTAGATTAGTTCAATACTAAACTGAACTTAATCTTTTTTTTAAAAAAAGTTCAGTTTAGATTTAGTATTGAACTTTTAATTCAAGTTTAGATTTAGTTCAAGTTCATAAATTTTAAGTTCAATTTAGATTCAAATTCAAAAATCTGCAAAATTTAAAGTTTAGTTTAGGTTTAGGTTTAATAATCTACAAAATTTGAAGTTCAGTTCAGGTTTAATGAACTTGGTTTATAAATTGAACTAAACTAAACTAAACTTAGAAACATTAATTTTAAATTTTTTTATTAAAAATCTAAAATTAAGTATTTTTTCTTTATAACTAAAAATTATAAAATAAATATATACCAATATAATATTTTTTTATGTTTAGAACAAAGTTAATTAAAGAATATAGAAATAATTAATTAGTAAAATTTTAAGAATAATAATATTTTTTATAGTTTTATTAATAAAATTATGAAAATTGCTATAATTTTTTTTTTTTGTTTTTGCTAAAGTTATTAGTTATTAGTAGCTATTGCCTTTATTGTAAATTTAATTATGATTATATAACTTATACAAGATTACCCTTATACTACACTAGCAAATAATACACAAACTTCTGTACATCTAATTAGATGCTGTCTAATCTAATCCTGACCTTCTTGTCTATATATCTGTCAAGTTGTTATATATTTCAAAATACGTCACTTGACTGTAAGGCTTCAAAAGGCCTTCTTGCTAACTAACTACTTATATTTAATCTTTGCTAACAAGGCTCACTTTTGTAAAGTTCATCCAAACCTCAGTACTGACTTCATAGCATATCTCTAGTACTTAGCTATACTTTGTTTTAGATCTTAGACTTCCAATTCAGATAACCCAGAAGGACTATGTTCTGTTTTTGGTAAGAGCCTGCAAATTGACTATTTTTAAAACCCAGCTCTTATTTAGGATTAAAATTTTTTTTTTGGTCCAGCCTGGTCTACATCTAAAGTTAATATTTTTTTGTCAGTTTGGCTCAGTCTAGATATATTAATTTTTTTTTTAGTTTGGTCCAATTTACAAAAATTTCTTATATAATTTTACAAAATTTTAGACCTAGACTGGCTTACAATTATAAAGTTTTGCAAATTTTTTGGCTTAGTCCAGTTTGTAATTATAAATTTTGCTTCAGGCCTAATCCAGCTTACAAAAATTTGTGAGCTGAACTGGGCTAGGCCAGGCTGCAAAACTCAATGCAGGCCTTTAGTTCTTGGTATTTTAAAAGTTTGCCTTTTCAAAATCTTTTTCCTTTAGTTCGAAACTTTTAATAACCTGGTTGGTGATACCTCTTATCTGAGATTCTTGTTTGTCTAATACCTTTTATATTAGTATTTATTTTCTAGATCTAGCCTTTACAATAATACTGTCAAAGATCTGTGCTATCTCTCTACTTGGGTCTTTTCAAGTAGGCTCTAGCTTTTTAGTTTTACAGATTTATATAACTATGGTTACAGAATGCTATAATTACCAATCACATAATCAAAAAATCGAACATTTTCAAATTGCTAAAATGTTTTATACAGGCAAGATTTCAAAAAACTTACTAGTAACTTTGTAGAATTTAATATAATGAACAAAGTTACTGGTCAATTTTTAAAAATATAGCTTCTATAAAAAGTTTTAGCGATTTGAAGTTTCTAAGTTTTATGATATTGAAACAATCATGTGTATATTTCTTAATATTTGATTGGCCAATAAACATTAGTTTGAACAGTCGAAAATTTTAATGTCAACTAAAATATCATATTTCTCATTAATATTGCAATAGTATTTTTTTATTTGCTCAAAAAATGTCAGGCTATAGGTAGACTTTAGTAATTAGGACTTTTTATATATACTATATCAACAAGCTTTTTAAATTAATCGTACCAAGAGTCTATTAGTAAGTATCAAAAGGGTTTAAATACACATGCACATATATTGGTTTTAAATTTATTCACATTGAATCAGGCTTTCATTATATTGAAAGTTACTATATCATGAGAATAAAAATTGGTGAATTTTGCTGAATTTAGTTATTTTAGAGAATATTGGCAAAATTTTAAATTTATTAAACAAAAGATAAATAGGACAGCTTTTACTATTATGAGTATTTGATAATTTTCGATTACAAGTACATAGGTTACTACTCATAGTTTTGTCACATTAAATTTTACATAATTCTTGATTAAAGTTAATTTTATCTTAAAATATCAATATAATCAGATTTTTAATTTTTAAAATGTTCTTAATGCACTAAACTGCGTAGATAATTTATATATAATAAAAATCACTATAAAATTAATAAACTATATAAATTAAACAGATACTTTGCCAGTATAATTAAATTTGATTGATAATATTGTTATAATTTGATATATGTGATAATTATATTTATTTTAACAAGTACTAGTTGTCTAATATCAATTATTTATATATAATAGAAACAATAATATGATAGCATGATATTGCATATAAATAAAATTAAAAACAAAAAAAATTTTGCATAATCAGATTGGCTATACTGAATTGAATAGAATCTGTAAACAAAAACCAAACATGAAACGCAAATGTTATCACTACTTTTGTTATGTTTCTAAAGCCCTAATCTAATCCTATTATATCTAATATATCATTGTCTGCATACCCTTTAATTGTCACAGATTCTAATGTTATATTGCAGTTAATCATTGTTTTTATTTTCCTTAGATCAAAGTTTTTAATTATCCTTATAAGCATGTACTAAAAAAGTATTTGTGCATTATCTTAAGGTAAAAATTAAATATACTTAAATCTGATTTAGATCATGATCTAAATTATTTTTACGATTGTATGTAATTTTTGTCTAAAATTCACAATGTACAAAATATTCATTATTAAATTACTCCTTAACAGATTACAGGTAAGATGGCTACATATTAAATTAATAATAAGTTTTTTAAATTCTGTTTTGTTTTTGTCTTTTGTTATAATTGTTTTCTTTACGATCTACTTATATATAACTTGAACTTCTAGCTGAAGTATAAAATAAGACTCAAACCAATCTGAATAAAAATCCGAATAAAAAATCTGAAAAAAAACCTAAATCAAAATAGTTAAAAGTTAGTATTTATTGCTATTAAAAATTGATCATTAGCTGTTATTATAAAATGCCATGTTCTAATAAAAGAAAACAGCAAATAAGTGTGTTGTCCAGGAAACAAGGTCGTTATATTTCACAAGAAATTACACAAGAAGTAGAAATGATAAATGAAGAAATACCACAAATGGAAGTAGTAGAAAATGAAGTTATATGAGAGACCCCTATAAAGCAAAGAGAGAATGTTAAACTAAAACGTAAGAGATCATCATATACTGAAATATCAAGAATAATTATCTGAAGAAAAAAACAAAAAGCTGATATATTATTAAATGTGAAAGCATCATCCGATTTGTCTCATCTGTTTTCAGCTGTTAATATTATAAAATAATTACAATTATCACAACCACCTTTAGCAGCACTGTTAGCCAACACTTTATCATTAATATCACGATCATTTTCATCAAAATCACCTATAGAAATTATAGAACAAATATCCTCTCAAATGGCTATATGTGATTCACTATCTATTAATAAAGAAAAATTAGAAATGCATTTAAATAAAATTAATCAAACATGTACAATAGTAAAATCTTCAAAAATTAATATACCTATATATAATTATTTGTGCCTTTTAAGCATTAATAGATACATTAAATTGTTGCTAGATGGGCAAGGCAAGATGAATGCAAGCATTCATCTTGCACAAACTATTTGGGGTAAAGGAGACAGTATGGCAAAACATATTAGAAAATAGGGAAATCATTATATAGGTAAGAATATAATAAAATGAACTTTTTGACATTTTTCAATTCATAATTTTGTAAACTGTATCTACAAATAATTTTGATCAAATATTAATATTAATTAAAATTCTCTTATTGCTTTGTATCTATTTATATAGAAACAGATGAACTTCTAGTTGATTGTCAAGGGAAGCACACTAAGTTAAAAAGTCTAATTAAAAATAAAGATTTTTTAGATAATTGTTAAGCTTGGTTATATAATCAAAAACCTAAGTCACATTCTCCTAGTGCCTTAAAGACGTATATTGAAAGTATGATGCTTTTCCAAATGACAGAACAAATAAAAAAAATACCATTTCTGAAAGAACATGTCGAACCTATATGCATTTATGGGGGTTTAGATATGATGAAAAGAGAAAGGGCATTTATTATGACAGGCAAGAAAGATCAAACATGGTGATTTATCCCTTAGATTGTAATACAGGCAAATTTGCTTGCGTTAATTTTTTTAAAATTAATTTTTATAATAAAATTTTAATAATTAATTTTAGCAATATACTTTCTAAGCAAAA